TTTCCTCAGGGATGGGGAATTGAAAACTAGAAGACATAAAAGTTTAAGGTGAGAGGGGAAAGATTTAAGAAGGACCCGAGGGGCAACTTCTTCATGCAGAGAGTGTATCCGGGATAGGCTGCCAGAGAAAGTGGTTGAGGCAGGTACAATAGCAACATTTAAAAAAAAACAATTGGAAAGGTACATGGATGGAAGGGTTTAAGAGGGATATGGACCAAATATGGGCAGTCTGAACTGAGTGGGCACCATGGTCAGCTAACTGATTACAACTTAGCATTTACTGGCAACCCTACAGTTTAAAGCTGACTTCTTTCCTCTGGTGGGTAATTCTTTGGACTCAGGATTACAGCACTGAAACGCATCAACATAATGGCCAAAGCCGCCACAAGGATGTGTGCTATTTACTATCTCCAATGATTTGTATGATGGGATCCAGTGTAAAGTATTCAAAATACTGCAGATACAAAGCTGATGGAATATCAGTTCCTTTCCTTATCTCACTGTGGTCGTGTCAAGCCACTGAATATTGGTAACTGTGGAGGATTTTAACCCTTTGTGAGGCAGCAATCACAGAAGAATGTTGATCATGAATTTTTTTTTTAAGCACATCTGCTTCCAAACAGTATTAGAAGTACAAGCCTTGCTCATCATGACAGGTGTAAGTGTTTCAGAATTTACTTCTGTCATGATAACTCTAAATTTAAAGGTAAAATATAAAGATTACTCATTGTACTTCACATGAAAAGCAGGGGAAATGCAGTAATATAATTGAAATTTCTTTATAAGGAACAACATCTTGTAATTTTTAAACGGTTTTGTTACTGAAGAAGAGTATAACCAAATATCACTTCTTTACCTTTCAAAATATAATGCTCTGATTTGGGGAGATACTCCATCTCGTCACAGTTGCCACGTTAAAGTTCACCTTGCTATCTGCCAGTTGTTTAAATTAGAGGGTTACAACAATATGATGTCTTGGCACTGTGTCTTTAATCAAAGGTAAAAACGAAAAAGGGATCAGAGACCAATTCTGAAATCTGGCCCAGAGCGAGCTTCCATTGTTGGAGAGTGAAGGGCCAAAATTGTTTTACTGAGAAGACATTTAAGTGTTGATATTTGGAGACAGTGGCAATGTGCTATACAAGACTCAGTCTCAAAAGTTTCAGAAAAATAGTGTTTAGGATATCTGGTTATAAACAGGTGTTTTAATCTGTCCATTTACTTCAAAGATAAAAGAGAGTTGGGGTTTCTATAGCATTTCTGCTAACTTTGTTATTGCTTGCGTACTTTGGATGTCCAAGCATGGCAGCTACTTCCGGAACCTGAAGTCAATACTAAAAATGGCATGGGCACGTCAATCATCACGGATGGAGCTTTGCAGCAGACAAACAGCAATGCAATTTAGAGATTCCATTGGTTTCAAAGTTGTTTATCAGCATTTCTACCAGGATACAAGATCCACATGATTCATATTGCCATTTCTGATGGGCTTTGAGATGGGAACGGTGCAGAGGTTTTCATGAACTATCAGTGAATAGCACAGACAAGTGCTTTAGTCTAGCAGGGTGTAAGACAGTGAGGGAACAAACAGAGAGAGCAGCTAGAGACCCAGAGTCTTTACAGTCAATCATGCAGGATTGCAGGTAGAAACTCACATTCAGATTGAAAAAAAAAATCAAAAACTTATGGGGAGTTAAACAAAGCTGAACAGTCACCTAGCTTGTGGTAATGAGAGAATCTCCAGTAATGCTCTCACCATAAAAAAGGTCAGTTCTGGGTTTAGTAAATACCAGGCTGGGGAAAGAAAAGTAAAACCTCGGGAGGCAAGAATTATTTTGAATTGATTCTGGGATAACAGATGTTTATTTAGAGGTCAGCATAAAGTAAACATTTATTTTTCCCCCAATGGAAAGATTGAGATTTTCTTAGGGGCTGCTTTTTGATTTTTTCCATTCTCATTAATTCATTTATTAGGTAATGTTATCACATATTAACAATACCTTCTGTATTTGTAGTAAACAAGAACAGAAATTGCTGGAGAAACTCAGCATGTCTGGCAGCACCTGTGAAGGGAAAACAGAATTAATGTTTCAAGTTCACATTAACTCTTTTCTCTTCACATGCTGCCAGACCCAGAGTTTCTCCACCAATTTCTGTTGATGTCTGTTGCAGATCTCCAGCACCTGCAGTTCTTTGTTTTATCCTTCTGTATTTTTGTTGTTAGATGTGATATTTGGACACTCTCAGCAGAATTGGAAGAATTAATCAATATCCACAATTATCATCCATGCTTCACTGAACTTAAAGCAACAAAACACAAGAAAATCATTAATTTCCTAGATATCACTACTCAAACTGGTACAAGTCAACAAGCATAAATTCACAAAAAAAATTTCAAAATAATTGATACAGTTTTACATTCAAAACACAATCACAAGCATACTTTCCACAAACAGATAATGGGTTTTCAACGCAACTGCACAAAGCTGTAATATTTTAACTGTGTAGACTTGAATCTCAAGACTCACAGACATTTTATTTCCTGTAAAGTAGCTTCTGAACTTAGCCTGCCTTAAGCTGGAGGTCACATATTCATTTGCAAAGAATTCATTATCCAAGTGATTTCAAAGTTTTCCTCACTCTCCGTTAGTTGATTTCTTTTGACATAAAATGGTTCCTTGTACTTTAGGGTCCTTTCTCTTCACAACTTGCTTTTGTGCATTCCCCCACCCCTAATTAAAGCATTCTTCTACTTCCTAAGCACAACCCCCAACCTCCACATTTTGAATCTTCCTTCATCGTGCAACCCACTTTGGAGGCTTTTTTTTCCCTTCGCCTCTCTTCCATCCATCTCCTGTCATGCAGCAAATGCCAAACCCCACTTCAAACGCAACAGTTAGAACTCCCAGCCTCAGTAAAAGGCCCCACCTTCACAGCTCAGTAAACACTGCCCTGGCAAAAGGTTTGACACCTCAGCAGTCTGCCCCTTTTCCCAGTTATGGCAAACTACATGTAGTCACAGCTCCAACTCCTGAAAAAAAAAGCCCAAACCCCCGGTGATTTTCTCACTGCCAACATTTTACTTTAACTACTTGTTGCTCCAATCTGATTGCTGTCCAATCATAGACTTGTTCACACCTATGAGCAGCAAACATAAAAGAGAACCAGCCTGTGATTGGAGAAGGTCCTCATCAATTCTACATATGGATAAACTTTCTGCAATTACTAGTCTCCCCAGTAATGGAATTTTCCCCGATGTTTTTGAGGGCTTTCAGAATTCATCTGCTGTCCCAAATATTTTGTGCATCAGTTCTAGAAATAAGAAAAAAGTGTATTCCATTCCGCAAAATAAAGAAAAAGCAATCTAATTTTTTCAAGAATGCTGCAAAGCTACCGATTGCAAACAAATACTGTTAATTCTCAAATGTGCATCAGGAGAGTTGACTTGCCTGCTGCAAATCTTCATTTGTAGGATATTTAAAGAGAAGAAAACTGTCAAAATTAAATTTGGAGGCTGCTTCTATATCTCAACGTTTACATATAGTGGTCATACTGGTCAGCTGATCAGCCACAGGTCTAAGGAAATTTCATCTATCAAAAACATCTCCTGCAGCTGCCGAGTGCATTATTAAAATGATTCTCTTTCTAGCCCAAACTAAAGTTGGTGAATGAGAGTCGATAACCACAAACAGAAACGAATAAAACACCTTTAACAAATGTGAAACCTACAACAATAGCAATAGAACTGAAAACATGCCATTGGAACTGGCAAGTCGTTACTGAGGCAGAATAATCTATATTCCCTCTGAAGGACAGTTATCAATGCTTCACAAGCTGACATGAAAGAGCATGTGCATTAGCAGCAGTATCTCAAATATTTACAAATATCAATTTATGATATTGTTGGAATGAAATAGTATATTGGGTCACAAATAAACTGTAAAACAAATAAAACATTATAAATTTCAAAAATCAATTTAATATTGTGTACATGCTTGCATGCATTCAGCAATAATCAGTGGTACATTAGTTACAAAAATCTTTAGATTTTAAAGCAGTATATTGTATTTCTATAACCACTAAAACAATAAACTTGTTGCAACTTGTACAAATTTGTCCTTTAATGTTCATCTTAATTTAGTAATCACCTAACATTATGTGTATGCACGTGTTCATATCAGCAGTTGATTGGTGTCAGCAAACAGGTGCTCATCAAAAACTTGTGAAATGGAAAGCAGAAATTAGCTGTACTTCAATGCAGTATGGATGACAGACCAGTAGAAGGCTTGCTGAACAGACTTTTCATTCCCTCTTGTTAACCCATTTATCACTGAACAACAATTTGTGATTTATATCACAACTGTTACAGTACAAGAGAAGATCATTTGGCCTATTGCGTTAGCAACAGCTCTCCAAATGATCATTTCACATAATGCCATTCCCTGCCTTTTCCTTGTAACCTTGCACATTGTTGCCTGAAAAAGAACAGTCTTTCAAATGAGAGACAACAAGGTGCAGGGCTGGATGAACACAGCAGGCCAAGCAGCATCATAGCAGCAGAAAGGCTGACGTCTTTCAAATGCTTCAATTGAACCTGCCTCCACCACACCCGATAGCAACGTTAACATAAAACATCCCAAGGTGCTTAATAGGACCATTATCATGGAGCTACACAAAAATAGAATGGATGACTAAAAGCTAGGTCAAAATATAGATTTTAAATGAATGTTTTAAAGAGAGAGTGTTTTGAATGCAAGGAGATTTGAAGAAGGAATTCCAAAGCTTACGGTTAAGTAGCTGAATGCATGACCACTATCTGTAAACTTGTATTGTAACTTTTAAATTCCCCATTACAATAGCAATTACAGTCCAGAGTGAAATCTCAGAACTAGTGATAATTAAAAACTTCCAATACTTTCAAAAATTTAAACCACAAGTCATTTCCCCTCATTCAGTCACAGAAATGATACCCAAGATTTAGATCATAGTTCATTCCATACCTGGAATAATTGTGTAGCTGACTGCTCGTTTCTTTAAGTAAAGGTAATAGGGTTGAATAACTTCCTGAAGAAACACTATATCAGGGCTATATCTAAAGCAAAAAAAAGGTCCGGTTAGACACTCCTCAAAATCTAAAAAGCATTGATATTGTAATACAAATCAAAGAACTCAAATCCTACGATCCTAAATGCACTATAACAGCAACTCAATTATGCTGTAGCATAATAGACTCAGACAAGAACAAATTACAGCCTCATACATAAGTAAAAGGCTAGGTAATCAACACCATTAAAGGTACTGAAAAGGTAAATACTCCAGGTTCAGAAAAACAACATAGAAAGTAACAAAACTGGAAAGAAGCAAGGACCATGAATTAAAATGTATCTTACCCACACAGGGCAGGACAGCACTCAAGGCCTACTTAAAACTATGATGCAAAATTTCATGGAGCCCAAAAAACAAAACAGTGATTAAAAACACATACTTCAGTTTAAAGGCTATGATATTGATCCAAAGAAACAAAGCTTTGAGCCAAGCACAAACGGGGAGTTTTTTTTCAATTTATTCTTTGGACAAGAGAGAGTCGCTGGCTGGGCCAGCATTTATTGTCCATCCCTAATTGTTCAGGCATCTGGAATCACATGTAGGCCAGACTAGGTAAGGATGGCAGTTTCCTTCCCTAAAAGAATATTAGTGAACCATTTGGGTTTTTCCAACAATTAATGGTCATCATGAGACTCTTAATTCCAAATTTTTATTGAACTCAAAATTCTACCACCTGCTGTAGCAGGATTCGAATCTGGGTCCCCAGAACATTACCTAGGCCTCTGAATTAACAATCCTGTGATAACACCACTAGGCCATCACCTTCCCTCTACTCCTAGTATTCCAAGTTATAAGGTCTTTAGAATGTACAGGAAAATTAACAAAGGAAGAACAGCAATATTGGTAAGCATTACTACCACATTAGCAAGGAAAGATATCTGTGAGCAGGCAGTAGAGACAGTATAGGTCAAATTGAGGATTTTTTTTTTTTTTTTTTAAAAAAGAAACCTATATTACATGTTATATATACACACACACAGTGATAAAGTAGCAGTGTACATGAACATAGATGAAAAGTTTGCTGCAAAAACTTGAGCAGCAATCTATTGAGACAACAATTTAGACATAGATTGGGCTAAGCAGCCTAGCTAGGCACAAAGGTAGCAAATTTATGCTGACTGGGACAGTTTTCCCAACAATATCCTCTTGAACCAATGATGAAACAGGTCATAGAGAATGCTGGAGAAACTCAGTCTGGCAGAATCTATGGAGCAAAAATAGAGATAACAAGGTGTAG